GACTGAATCTACAAAGCTGTTACGGGAAGTTAACTGCGTTTTATTCGGAGGCATCATTTAAGTAAGTAACTCTACTATGAACATTTATTAATGTCCCACCTCTTTACTGCAACCTTTCTACCCATATAAACGCCTTTGTAAACTTTGCCAAACGATCCGGATCCAATTGATTCTTGAAAATCGATATCACCTAATTTTAAGTGGTACTGGCTGGACAAAAACGAGCGCAGCTGCAGTACTTCAGCCTTTTCTTTCGTCATACTCTTCAATTTTCCAAGTGGAGATGGCAAAGGAACGTAAGATCCGTCTAGAAAACGCATGAGCAAGTAAAATCACTGATTGCGGGAAGCGAAAGCATTTACCATCAGAAATGTTGCGGGCAAACGGGCCGTCGCCTTCAGGACGGTAGCACTTCATGAACGTCACGATGCTGTCGTGACCTAAGCATGACATTCGCTCAATGCCAAGATATGTCAAATTCCATCACTGCACAATACCTCGCTCATAAGCCCACACGATCGGTGTCTGATCGTCTTGATGAGACATATCCGCCTCACCGTCAAACGAATTACCGTTGCAGACAGTCGACTTTGCGGTGCCGAAACGAGCGGATATTGTCGGGTCGGCGCCATTGTCCAAAAGGAACTGAACAACAGCCAAATGTCCATTATAGCAAGCGCTGTGCAAAGCTAGAAACAGAAGATGTTGAGATCATATATAAATATACAGACATAAAAATTTATAGTAACCTGTGTGACCGTCCTGTCCCTGAAAATTGATGTTGACTCCCGGTTGTTTCAGAAGAAAGGACACAAGTTCAAGACTCTTTCCGTTGGTACACGCGCTAAAGTAAAGATGGGCCTTAACTCGGTTAAAATTTTGAGAAACGACAAAAATATGAAATTTTGTGTGAAAACAACGTGATGTAAAATTGATGTAATCTTGATCGATCGCCAGCATAGTCGAGTCAATCGACAAGCCACCGCGGAACTAAAGATGATCAAAAAAACGAAACAATCGGTGCCTCATCGTAGTTAACTTAACTTAAACTTAAAAAGAGCGCCGCGTGATTATGCAAACGAATCCTCGAACCTTCAAGTGCAT